TGCTCGAGTGAGCTATAGAAAGCATCAGGAAAGATTCAGAGTTCAGTTGTGAATTACTTCTCAGCAATATTTTCCCAATCACAACCAATCTATAGATGACTCAACACTATAATACCTACAAAGAGCACATATAACAAGAGAGTACGTCTTTGGACAGATTCAAATACCATATTTCATTGAAAATATAATTAAAGTCTTATAAATTTTATGGTTATATGTATTATACAAATGCATGCTACCTTATAGATTAGCATAGTCAAATAATATTTGATTTTTTGTATTAATACTCCTTCACATATTATCATTTTGTTACCATGTGCCAGCATCAAAAACCTTTTATATGAGTTATATATGAGAGGATATGAGCTACAAGTAGTTTATTTACTGAGGTTCTTTTAATAGTTCTGTCCTTTAATGTAACTTTGTAAGGCTATGCCTTCACCAGGAAGACTCCTCTGACATTATTTTCTGTACTGACTTTATGTCTCTTTGCTTTCCAACCCCCTATTCCACTTGCACCTATTTTTCTTCTTCCCATAGTCTGTGATAGCTTCTTTTCCTCTGAGCTAATCATCCATTTATCACTGTATGAATTCTTATGACAATGATTCAAGAGATATCAGAATGTTATTTACGTATTTCCTATTATAGTGTGTATAAAATGCCATTCTCTACATTCCTTCTCCCTTCCCCTCTGTTACAATCTGTATTTTAAGAATTCAGAGACAAAAAAACAGTGGGAGGATGAAAATGAGAATTCATTTATATTAATTCCTCACAATTAAAAATTTCACTGTTTTGTTGCTTATGAATCAATCATTATTTTCTTACACAGTATCTGCATCTTTCCAGTTCAAATTTGTTTTTTTACCATTGTCTGCTGATAGTTCCTTACAGGACATTTTAGTCTCTAGTTCTCTTTTATGTTGCTTTCTCTTGAACTCATCATGGAGAAGAAACACTTTGTTAGTAGAGAAAAAAAAAAAAATCAGTGTAGAACACAATTAAGGCATGTAGTCTTTTTGCAGAGTTTCCTGCACATTGCTCCTTGGTATAGATTATCCTCTCCTTTGGAAGGGGCAGATGTTCCTGAGCATCTCTCTGCCTTAGAAATGCAGAGCAGGTGATTGTGCCTTGATATTGATGTATTTCCCATCTTAGTCAACTTTTTATTGGCCTGGAGGAAGTTTTGCTTCTTCTTTAGTTTTCTTGTGTGCACTGGTACAATCAGGTAGGTGTGGTGAGTGTTTAATACCAGCATTAGCATAACCTCATGTAACATAATTTCCCACTCTCCTCCTAGTGGTTTCCTGTTATCAGTGGGCTAACTCAGTTATGACACCACTTTTGTTGTCATAGTTCATAAGAACAGTTGCGCAAGAAGTTCTAGAAAATGCCTTTTACATCCCGGTTCTGTGACAAATACACCTTTGTTTAGAAAACTTGCATTGTATTGTCCATTGTTATTACTATTCCATATTGCAAACTTGATTTTTTCTGTCTGGAAAGAAATATACTTAGCAATTACTTCAGTAGGAATGGAAACTTTCTGACTTCCAGTATGAAATAAAATGTACCAAAACAATTTTTGACCTTAACAAAATGTTCCCTTTCTTTGAGGTCAAATATTTACCTCTGATAAAGGTGGCATCATTATGTTCTGATATTATTTTATTTTGAAGTGACTATGCTATTGTGAAAGGTAAATATTCTGGTGATTATTCACTGGATCTTTGGATGAAACCCATGTTTTCCTGAAAAATGTTTCAGTTCTGTAGAAGCAGCTTTCTCTAATGGAAAATTATTCTGTGGAGGAACTTCCAGGCAGCTCAACCAATGATGCAAAACTGAGCTGCAGTAAAAATATTACTCTTCTTTCCTCTTCATTTAGCCTCTAGATCTGGGAATAGAAAGTTAAAACTGTTCCATCACTTTCTTCGTTGTTCTGGTGAATGCAGCTGCTGCTGGAATTTCACTGCTCAGGAACAAAAGGCTCAGGCAGATGTGGAGGGGACTCCTGGCTGAGTGATGATCTTCCTCTGTATGAGCTAGTAAAACCTGATCATCATTTCATTGTAGCCTTGCTGCTTTAATTAGAACACGCTTATATCTATGTACATGCTCACTAGAGTTATCAAATTGCAGACTGTAGCAACACATTGGTTTTAATTTTCATAGACATCTTGTTTTTTATTTGTGTTTAGTTGCAGCTGCTCATATATTTCATTTGTGAGAAGCTTTATACCCTAAGATATTTAAAGAAAATGCTAATTAGCCACAGTCCTAATCCTGCTTTTGATGAAACCTCATTCAAGCAGCTTTATTTATATTGCAATATTTCATATTTTTTCCTACTTTTGTGGTTTTTTTTTCATAGTCGTTCATATTTCTTTGATATAAAGGTTTGTGATTATAAGGTTAGTTGTACATTTGCCACCTATTGGAGGGTTTTGCGTATACGTTTTTTAGCTGTTGTGTTTGGGATCTGACTTTGTTTAGAGGGGACACTCACAGTAACCCAACTATGTTGTTTCCAGAACCCAACTATGTTGTTTATTGATTGTATATTTCATCAGCTTAATGCCCACTTTTGGCAACCTATGGCATTGATCAAAGCTCTATTTCAAACCAAGGTTTAAGTAACAGTCATTACTTGTATCTCATAATGTTCACTTTTTACTATTGCAAGCTCAGTTACTAGACAAGACCAGAGTGGCCTGGGGAACTGGACAAGCAATGTGCTGAATCTGGCAGCAGGGCAGACTGCCATATCCAACTTGAAGATAGATGTGGCATCCAGAAAGCTGAAAACTAGCAGAAATGAAGCAAAATGCTGCAGGCAGACTTTGTTGATTGTGTGTCACCAAGGAGTTTGTTGCCTTGTGTTAGAGGAGGAAACCTTAGAAGAGAGCTTGATGTATGGAGAAGACTCTGTAATTGAACCTGGGGCATTATGTCATCACTGGAGGAAGAGTAGGATAGACTGTAAACAACCTGGATAATGATTAATCTGCTGTGAAGATCCCAAGAAGGAAAAAGTGGACTACAGAGTTGCTAAACCCAATGATGCAGTGTAACACATAGAGAAGAGGAAAGTAGGAGGCACTGTAGGCTATTATACTTGTACTAAAGTATTTTCATATATAAAAATTGGTATAAAAAAATCAATAAAATGGGTGTTCTTGGGCATTATATATGATGACTACAGATACCAGTCAGAATTTGGTTATACTAGTGCTCTAAGATTTTTGTTTTGTTTTGGTTTTGTTTGTTTGTGTTTTGGTTTTTGTTTTTTTTTTCTATAGAACATAATTGCCACATTAAAATTCAGATTTATTTAATCTACAGCATTGCTTTCATCCACTAATGTCTCAGTTCTTAGGACACAATGGAAATAATTAACTTTGTCAGGCATCATCTCACCTCTTTTAGTGAAGGAAAAAAATTAGAAGAGGAACATCTTACATTAGGATTTTTTATTGTGTTTTCAAATCAAAATAAATTTCTAACCAGCAACTTGCAGATCCCAGTGAGATCTCTAAAGACGTAGAAATCTGTCAGACTTAGAATGAGCCAAATTTCAGATCGGGTTCTTGAACTGTAATTTATGTCACTTCACCCACTTTCTTAGGAATTCACCTTACATTTTGCAATTAGAAGGTAGAGACTGGCTTGCTTACCATCAGGAGATTTTTGCCAGCAAAGTGTCCCTGTAAGTGAGAACTCCCTGAACTGTTGACTGTTAAAATACACTTGACCATATTCTCTAAATTCAAAAAATAGGAGATTGAAACTCTCATTATAAAGCTATTCATAGACACTAGAGTCCCTGAAGCTGATATATGGAGAAATGGGCCTAGTGGGTATCTGAAGCATGAGTGTTCCCATCTCTCTGTGATGGGTTTTGTATGTTTTTGCTGCTCTCCTACAACAGACTGCATGGGCAGAAAGAGTCAATGGTCCACAGCAAGGATCTTGCCAAAGGCTGAAGGTAGCCAGAAACTCGGATGAAAGTGCAGTTCCCTGCCTTAATATTTGAACACCATGAAAAGATAACAGAAGGTCCTGGTGTTGGAAATTTAGATAGGTGGTGAGCATCTAGGGGTAAGGGGTAGTCTAATGTATGGGTCTGTATCATCATGGAAATCCAAAATTCTAATTTGCAGCTAACTATGAAGCAAATGCTGTAGGACAATATGTCACATGTATACTGTGTAGCTAGTTGAGAGGTATTTTGTAACACACATTTTTGGAAAGAAGATTGATTCCAAATGTAATATTTAAACACCATAAGATTTCTGTGAAGTTCTTTCCATAGTAATAAAAGGAAGAGGAGATACCAACTGTGATAAGTATAAATGATATCCTTTAAAACTCTGTGTTTAAGCTATAACTTATTCTAAAGGCAGAATAAAATTAGTTCTGTGGATGACATATTTGGATTCTACATGTGAAGATCTTGTCCTCTTCATTTAGATGCAATCTATTGTTATAAATCCTATTTTAGCATGTTTTTAGCTACTTGATTTTAACAACTAAAATTATATAATAGAAATACAATTAAACGTGATTTCAGAGTCTGGATACACTCATTTACTCATGGTATTCTTGTTACAGTAAAACTGTTTACACGCCATTTGTATAAGCAATGTTATTGCGATGGTCTTGAACTCTTTTAAGGGCTAAGTGACTGAATGTCCGATTTTTATATTTTTTTAAAAATTTAAACAATCAAGAGTTGGAAAGATGTTGTTGGACTATTGCATGCTTCAAAATCCATCATGAAATGTTATATTAGCATTAAGCATTTTAAGTCTAGAATTGAAAAATCAGACAGATTAAGAGCATTTGTGTTACTGCTGTTCAGTGCACATTCTGAGTAATCTGGCATATAAATAACATTCATTCAGCTCACAGAAAACCTGGCAGTCAGGTAATCTTCATTCCTTATCTTAAAAAAATTCTACGCATCAGATGGTGCAGCATGGTTCATGGTGAGAAGGAGTTGCTGCCAGAGAACCAGGAATGGGCTGCTTGCAGCATATTATTTGCTCAGTTTATATTATATAGGCATGTGAGAGTTGAGAACCATTGTTGAATGAAGAATTTCAGTCACCTGGATCCAAGGTATTCACATCCCAAAGGAATCTTTCCAGAAGACTATCCCCATGACATGAGAAAACTTTTCATCATTAAGCTGATGTCAGATTGCCAGTATCCAGTCGTTCCTGATAGATACCTAATGTTTTATTATGGAAAAAGTTGGTGGAGTTTATCAAGGTCATAAAAGGTATGTGTACATATCTTAACAGAACCATGGCTTACTTTAGTTGGAACTTGGGTAGACAGGTTTGGGAAAGTACACAGACTGAGTGGATATGGTAGTTTAACAGTTTCCCTGTCTCAACCTTTGCCTGAAGGACTTGGACCCATTAACAGGCAAGAAAATAAAAGGCTTTGCATATCTTTTGTAACAAGATAGAGATTTTAGTAGTCTTGTAATACTACTTATGAGCATTAGGATTCATGTAAACTCAGGAAAATATAATGTTGAAGCTATTTACCTACAAGATTTTCAGTATTTCATGGTAATAATCTTCAAACAAGAAACACAGTATGCATGCATCCACCTTTGTATTTGCCCGGATCATTAACATTAGTGTAGTTCACAAACTTAGGTGTTAGTGACTGCACCAGTCAAACGAATTTAATCACCATTTGCAAACTGATATTTCTCAATTTAGAAAATTTAGCTAGACAGTGGTAAAATTATGGGATTAAAATTGGCTGTGATTCTTTTAAGTCCTGCAATTAGAATTCAGTACTTCAGCTAACAGTATTTTAAGCTGTCCATTGAGATTCATCCACTCAGAAGTGATACATGCAGAGAACAGTAAACATATATTGGGCAGCCTGAAGGGGGTCTAAGATTTAGGTGAAGAGGTCTACAGCTGCTTGAACAGTTCTTTACTTACAAGCACTTGAAATCAGAACAAATGAAAGCGCGAGTACTAGCAACATGAAGGAATTCATGCCTAACAGCAGCAGGCCAGTATCTAATCTGAGGTACCTTTCCAGCTAGTGAAATTCACAGACCGAAGGTTTTTCTTGTAGAAATAAACATTAAATTAAATTACTTGAAAGGTAAACTATTGTTCCTTTTTAAAAGGTATTCAGTTTTTCTTAATAGCACACTTGGGGGACCTCAGTGCACAAACTAAGCACCCACCAACCGGTGTCATGTATTGCTTACACCATGCCCTTTCCAGTGTTAAGATGTATTTCTGCAGCCCAGTAGAAGATGACAGACAGAACTCTTGTGCTGGGGTATGAGCTCATTCAGTGCTGGCAGCCATGTCCTGGCTGTCATAGTGCTACACTGACCCTGAAATATCAGCTTGGAGAACCTTATGATCAGCGCCTGTGGTGGCATGTGACCAGTAAGCAGCAATTTCTTGGCTGTGATTTCTTCCCTAGTGTTAGATGCCTAAGCCCTCTTTCAAAGCAGTCAAGTAGTTGGAACATTTGCCTTTGATGTATGAAAATTAAACTAGTTAGGGAGTCTATGACAGCTCAACAGGCATGATGGAAAAGAAAGGTGATTTTCAGCTAAAGTATTTAAACCCAGATGAAGAAGAGTGAGATTGTCAAGTATCATGGGCTGAAAGCACATGCCCAAAAGCACATCTCAGAGAGGATATGGCTTAAAATATATTTGTCCAGCTCTCAGTGATCAGATGGTCCTTGTACATGTTGTAAAAACAAAGAAGCACATGGCAAGGTGGAGACCTACCTAAAAGCATGGCTGAGACCTGAACCTCATCTACCCTGTTTTAAATATTTAGGAATTTTTAACAACTTTACATCTTTGTAACACATTTGGGGCAGGAGGCCAGAAGGCAGTAGTAACTCAGGTAACAATTGCTAATTTACTTTAATATGGAGAAAGTCAAAGAGTCAAATTAAAACGTTCAAATTAGTCAAAATGTGTGCCTGTGGTGCTGTCGCAAGCCAGCCCTGGGACAGGGGCTGTGGCTGATGCGAGCATGTCTGCATAAACTGTGCAAGAGTCATGGAACAGAAACTACAACCCACCTGCTGTCTCTATCCGGCGTAGCAAACTGGCCTCAGGTTTTTTCTCTGAGCAGTGTGGTTGTGCTCCTGCTGCTGCCTCAACTCAGTGTGGAAGGAAGCAGACCTCCAGGTGTGTAGCACCATTCTGAAGCTGCTAACAAAGATGAATTAGCTATTTTTCTAAGAGAAAAAATGATCTTGCTATTATGTTAGTTTTATGGGAAGCAAACACTTATAATTCAAGATATATTTTTAAGGATCAGCAGCTCTTGTAAAGAGATAGGTGTGCACAGTTTTAGTGTGCTATTTTAGATACATGAATCATAAACTGATTACAAAAGCTGGGGGTTTTTTAGTATTTCTTTACTTTTCTTCAGCTTTAGCTTAGCTTTAGCTTTTGCATTGCTTCTCCTTGCTCCTTTCTTTTCCTTTGACCATAGGAGAGTGCTGAATTAAAAGAAATCAACCCGCAAGAGTTTTCTTATATAGCTGTCTGTTACACATGTAAGTTTTGTTCTTTGTCTCTCCAAATGTCATTGCTTGTAATTAATGACTTCAGAACATAGAGCTTCCTGTATTATGCTGAAATAAAATAAATTATAACTAATAATTTGAAATGGTAAAATACATAACGTTAAAAATAAACAAAAAAAATTTAAAATTTTTACCTTTCAACTGGAGAACATTTTAAATTCAGTATGTTCTAGGTATGTAACAAGTTTTGAGTATGCTTGAAATGCTGTGTGACGTTCTATTCAGTTTCTATTTATTAGAAATTATTAATTATTCATCTTATATGTTTTGTATGTATGGGGGTTTTTTTTTGTTTGTTTGTTTTTTTTGTCATTTTCTTGATTGATCAAACAAGGGCAGAACAGTCGTTTGTAGGGAATCTTTTGTTGAATTTGCTTTTACCTATCTCCTATGTTTGGTCCTAAAAATATCTTAAAAATCAAAGAGAAATCTTGAGAAGACTTTCACCACTGAGTTCCAGATCACTCTCTTCTTCCAGAGATGAGAAGTAAATCACTGCAGACAGGTAGCCAGGTTTGACTTCCAAAAGTGTGTCAAAATAAAAGAGTGGAGGATAAATGGAAAGAGGGTAGTGAATGATTATCATGCGCTTTGTGATATGTCACATTTTATATCACATGATAGTGGAATATAGTTTTTAACTCCACCATAACTCTTGATATATTTACAAAGAGGAAATTAAGCTCAAATACTGAGACCAAGTATGAGTATATTGGGGAACTTTATAACATTTAATGTGAACTAACAAACCTCTGCTTATTTTGCAGAGGTTTACCAGAGAAGGCAATTGGAGATACTTTTCAAATTATTTACTTTATGACTCCTATGTGGTTTTATAATTGTGTAATGAGCACTGCTAGTATAGTCACAATTCTCACTTAGGTGCTATTGATTTTTTTAAAAAATTGTTTTAATGATCACCAGGGCTGCTGTTTCACACTCTGCACATTTAGAATGGTCATCTAAGCACTTTTAGCACTAATACATGACTTGGAAGACCCACATTTAGTTCGCAGTGCAAGTGTGGCCACTGACAAATTTTTAGTGTCTATCTTTCTTTTGCATTTATAATGGGGAGAGAATAGTACTCCACAACAGCCCAGTTATGAAGGAAGTAAAGTTTGGTAAAGTAATATGATATGTAGGGCTTCAAGAGGCGATCCTGTACAAGCAGATACATGCATGCATCCTTTTGATATGTAAATACATGTACTTACACTTTATTTACAAAGCCTAAAAATCACTATTGTATGGATAATAGTTTCCATAGAACTCCAATCAGAAACATGATTATATCAGAAACAGGACTATTTTCAAATAGTTGGTGTTGCATCACTGTCAAAGGTAAATTTTAATTTTCCAGGGTTTTTTCTTACTTTTTTAAGGTGGAAGGCACATTACATAACTCAATATTTGAGTTAACATTCTGGAACATGGGCTTTAGCAACCTTGAGATGGTTGTATTCTATCTGTGGTTGAAATATTGTGGTATCATAAAACATTACCTTGTGCATTAACAATAAAGGATGCATGTTCTGACATGTGTGATGATCTACTGGATGTTTAAAATTGTTTATAGAGTTGAATTTGAATACTAAGGACTTAATAATTCTATTTCTTGTTGTGTCCATTGAGCAGACATGCTGATATACATAAGCTTTGAGTAGGATACTGTCTTGCTATTCTATCTAGGTACATTTTAAAGTGTATGTGGACCCGTATTTTGCATTAGGCATACCTGCAAGCTCTATGCATTGTTACATTTTATAGTGGTAAATTTTACATAAATGTATTAAGTTTCTTTCAGCTGAAACTAGGAGGCTTAACACATAGGTGTAGTACTAGGTAGGCATTTAAGATACTTTAAGGTGTCAGTGTCAATGTCTTAACAAGGAAATGTGTAATTTCTAGTGTTAACCAGATATTATGTAGCAAAGATAGATACTTAACACTTTGATGTGAAAGCATCTAAATATGTTAAAGCCTTACTAATTTACACTTTGTTAATCCAGGTATCCTGTAATTTGTACACAAAAACCAATGGCCTCTCTTTATATCTCTGCAGAGATTTAAAGGAAGAGAGCTGTATTTTAAGGTCATTACACATCACTATTATCAGTAATATTTGTTAATACAGATTTATTGTAACCAATGAAACTAAAACTTACTTGCCCCTCACAGATGATGCAGGTAAATTACACTTTTGTTGTGTGTCTTATTGCATTCTTTCTTCCACAAAACTAAGCAATTTTTAGTAGTATTCCCTGTCCCAATGATAATGAGTTAGAATATAAATAGAATCTCACTGTTGCTGTGCTCACTGCTGGAGAAGGAGGGTTCATCAAGCAGCCAGTTATGGCAAATTTCAGGAGTCCTCCTGCTAACAAAATAAAACAAAAGTCTGAATTTGTTTTGTAGGGCTATAGCTTCAGTTTAATCTCCCCTAGTGTATCCCTTGGAGCTAACAAATTCTTTTGACAACATACTGCCTGCAGACCCTGTTGCCTTGTTTTGTTCTATTTGCCCATTTCAGTCTCTTTGACACTCATCATTCTGAAGATCTAATTCCTTTCTTAAATAAGAATGGAAATTAAAGCAAAAAAAAGACAACCTTGCTTTCTCATTACCTACAGGTGGTTTGTGCAGGCACATGGGAGTGAATGCTGATTACAAATAATATTT